ACGACGTGGCCCCCTACTTCAAGACGGAGCCGGTGCGGACTCAGGTGCACCTGGAGGGAAACCGCCTGGTGCTCACGTGCATGGCCGAGGGCAGCTGGCCGCTGGAGTTCAAGTGGCTGCACAACAGCCGGGAGCTGACCAAGTTCTCCCTGGAGTACAGGCAAGCACCCCCCTTCCTCCCCTCCCACCCCTCTCCTCCCCTCTCCTCCCCTTCCCTTCCCACCCCTCCCCTTCCGTTCCCTTCCCTTCTCTTCCCTCTCCTTCCCTTCTCTTCCCTTTCCTCCCCTCCTTTCCCTCCCCTCCCCTTTCCTCCCCTTCCTTTCCCTTTCCTCCTCTCCCGTCTGCTCCCCTTCCCTTTCTTTCCCTTCCTCCCGCCACAGGGAGCCTGCCACGCCCCGAAAGGGGCCAGGGTGGGGGCCTGGGCAGGTTGGGGGCGGGGACTCCCCATCCAGTGCAACTGGGAGGCTGGGCTGGCAGAATTGGGGGCCAAAGATGGCCCTGCCCAAGGGTGAGAAGACCGGGCCCTGCTGAGCCCACAGAGGGTGGCTGTCTGGACAGAATGGCCCATGCAGCCGTGGGTGGGCAGAGGCGGTGATGGGGTGATGGGGGTGATGGGGGTAGGGGTGCTGTTGCCCTGGCTGTGAGCTGAGCCCTTCCCTCTCCTCCCCACCGAGAAGGACCTGCCTCTCGGGGCACCATAGGTGGGGCTGGCTTCCGTAGAGGGGTGCGGCCTGAGGCCGCCTGGGTCAGCAGAGAGGAGCACAGCTATTTGGGGGACCTGTCGAGGGGGGGCAGGGAGGTGGCCCGCCCAGGGTCTTCAGGTTACCTCCACTCCCTTCTCGTGGCCTCACCTGGAGCCTGGCCTGGGCTGGCCCTCCCCGCCCCAGGACGCTGCCCAGCGGGGACGGAGGAGAAGATGGAGACAGTGCAGGGTCTCAGAGGAGGGTTTGTGGCTGGAAGGGGTCCTGGAGGCAGCTGCCCGCAGCCCTCCGGGGCCTCTCTTCCTCTCCTCGCCTCCCCTCCTGTCGGCTCCCAGCGCTGGGGCTGCTGGTGATGAATCCCTGGCCTGGTGTGTGTGTAATTGCTTTTGTTGGGAAACAAGATTGCCTTGCCCTGGGGATGCTGATACAAATCTGCCTCGGGGATGGGAATGCAAATGAGGGGGGGTCTAATTTCTCGAGGAGCTGTCCTTCCGGAGGAGAACTCTCCTTCTCTCTGGAAAAGGAGGGAGGCCAGGGCCTGGGTGACTCCCTGCACCGGCCCTGGGGGTGGCCGCTTGGGAAAGGCGGGAGCAGGGAGCCACCTTCCCCTCTGGCTGCTGAGCGGTGGGCCAGGAGCAGGAGGCCTCCATGGATGCCCACTGGGGGCTTCCGGTCTCCAGGGCGCCCATGAGGCACTGGGGAGCCCCCCTCTGAGCAGCCCCGCCATGGTTTTGGGTTGGGGACCAGAGGCACGCCTGGCCACAGCCTGGCAGCCGCTGTGAGGAGCCCCTGCCCCCTCTCCAGGGTGGGACACACCCGAATGGCACGCAGGTGGCACGCGTGGGTGTCCGTGGTGCCTGGCGCCTCCCAGCTGCCCTGGGCTGCTACGGGCAGAGCTGGAGGTGGGGTCTGGGAGGGGAGGTGGTGTTTACCTGGTTCCCAGCTACTCCTCTGGTGCCTGGCCCTCCCCGGGACCCGGCGACGCAGAAGCAGGCTCCAGCTCAGGGTACCGGGCAGGTTCCCAGCCACGGAATGGGCTTCCTTTGGAAACGGCAGGATGGTCACGGTGACCCTCACAATCATCGACAGCGAATCAACTTACAGAACTTAGACGTTACAAGGTGCGCGCTGCGATTACCTCCTTTCCTCCTGCAAGCAGCCCCGTGTCCCCCATTCTACAGATGAGCAAACTGAGGCTCCGAGGGCTTCAGCAATGTGCCCGAGGCCAGACTGTTGAGCTGGGTTTTGACTAGCTGGCATCTGAGCTCCTGGGCTGGGGCTCTTTACCGCTCAGCACTGCCATTTATTGAAGAAGGACCACTGCCTACTTGTGTTCCCGAAGCCATCTCTCTGCCAACTGTGCTCCCCGAGTTCTAGAAAGCACAGCAGGGAGAAGGCAGATAGGAGCGTGGCTAACCCGATCTGAGGGAGGTGGTGGTCCTGTCTGGCTGTGGGGGTGCGTGGCCGTTCTTCAGGGGGCGCCAATGAGCTTCCCCTAGGGCAGGGGTGGGGACCCTTTTTCCTGCCAAGGGCCGTTTAGATATTCATCCCATCCTTCGTGGGCCATACAGAAGCATCAACTTAAAAATGAGCCTGCTGTGGCATTACCCTGACGCCTTGGCAGGGCCAGACCTTACGTTTGTACGGTCTGTGGGCCGGGTGTTCCCCACCCCTGCACAAGGGGGGCTCCTCCCCAGCCTCCTCACCCCCAAGAAGGCGGCTGAGGAGTGCTGATGGCCAGGCCTCCCTCGGGGTCTACTCCAGGCCATAGGACACAGTGGGGCAGCCCCACACTGGAGCCACATGGTGGGAACGGAGGGTGGGAGCAGTTAGCAGAGGGGAGGGGGGGGACAGAAGCCACTGTGTCCCCTTCACCACCCCTGCCCCCAGGGAGGGCCCAGCTCACAGCGGGTGCTTTTCCTTTCTTTCTCTCCTTTTAATTTTGAAAAGTTTCTAATCTTAGAAAACTGTAAGGATAGTACCATAAATACCTGTATGCATTTTACTGTTCACCAACTGTTAAGCTTTTACACCTGCGCTCTCTCTTCTCCCTCCACACACACACACACACACACACACACACACACACACACATGCATGCACTTTTTTGCTGAGTTATTTAAGAATGAGCTGCTCCCAGCCGGTGTGGCTCAGTGATTGAGCTTTGACCCATAAACCTTGGTTCGGTTCCCTGCCAAGGCTCATGCCTGGGCTCTGGGCTCGATTCCTATTAGAGGGCATGCCAGAGGCAGCTGATGATTCTCTTCTATCATTGACTAGAGGCCCGGTGCATGAAATTCGTGCACAGGTAGGAACCCTAGGCCTGGCCTGCAATCAGGGCTGATCAGGTTCCCCGCCTCCTCCTTCCTTCATTCCCTCAGCACCCCACCATCGCTGGTCACCCACCATGTTCCATGCCACCCCATGGTGGTCAGCACACATCATAGTGAGCAATCGAACTCCCGGTCTCTTGGTTGAACTCCTGAGGAGACACTTTGCATATTAGCCTTTTATACATATAAATGTTTCTATCTCTCCCTCTCCCTTCTTCTCTGAAATCAATAAAAACAGTTTTGTTTTGTTTTTTAATAATAATGAGTTGCAGACAGGATGTCCCTTTTCCCCTAAGTAGGATTGCCAGGTCTGAGCCATTCTTCTGAAGAACCACCATACAGTTTCCACCCCAGAGCAATGTCACGCTGATACAACGCTGCTATCTCACACGGTCCAGATCTCTCCGTGTGTCCCAATTACGTCCTCCGTGGGTATTTTTAGTGTTGTTTGCTACGGAATCTAACCCGCGCTGCACTCCGCTGCCAAGTCCCTTAGACTTTAGACTCCTTAAGTCCAGAACTGTTCCTCCCGTTTTATCCTCTTTCACGGCATCATCATTGGGAGTTCAGGCAGATGTGTCCTCCAGTACGGATTTGGGACATTAAACCTTTTGGTCTGGGCCGAAACCGGTTTGGCTCAGTGGATAGAGTGCTGGCCTGCAGACTGAAAGGTCCCAGGTTCGATTCCGGTCAAGGGTAAGTACCTTGGTTGTGGGCACATCCCCAGTAGGGGTGTGCAGGAGGCAGTTGATCGATGTTTCTAACTCTCTATCCCTCTCTCTTCCACTCTGTAAAAAAATCAATAAAATATATATTAAACCTTTTGGTCCGTGGCTCATCCTTGAAGCCACCAGTTTCCTTTGCCCCATTATCGGTAACAGTAGATTTGATTCAGCTGGTCCAGATGACGTCCACAAGGTGACCCCTTTGTGGAAGTGTTAAAGCGTGTTCTCCCCGTTGGCGGACAGCTTACAGCTGTGCGGTGCGAACGGTCTCCTCTCCAGGAAGCTCCCATCCGGGTTCCATATCCACTGGCCTTCTTACCTGGATCGGTTCTTACCGCTTCCTGCCGTTGAGATAAGCCGCTTTTCTATCTCTGCCATTCCTTCTCCCCTAGGCATTCTTTTGTGAGGGAAGATCTGTCCTTTATCACAACTTAGCATCAGCACAAGCTCCCAGGTAACTGTCCCTCCGTGGTGTGTGTTAGTCCAGCCCTGTCACTGTTCACGTGGGCTCACTCACACCGTAGCCCAAACGTGGCCACTGGGGCTTCTTCCCGCTGGCTCCTGGCTCCCTCGGACGTGCCCACCTTGGATTTCTTGCAGTTCCTTGCCTTTTTGGCTCAACAGTGTGTTGCCAGCCCAGCTTTTAAATAAATTCATCCTGAAAAGCCCTCGCGTAGGAGGTCAGCCAGCTTCCCATCCCGCAGTCCTCCGGCCACCGCTCGCTGCCAAGGCCTTCCTCGTCTCCCGATCATTCCTGGCGTGAGGTCAGGTGACCACGTCCAGTTTTCAAGGCAGAAAGATGGCTGCATGCACTCAGACAGGAAGTGCTATGCTCGCCGTTCCCCCCTCTCCCCCCGGCCAAAGGAAAAAGTTTGCATGTATGTCCATCTCCGAAGGTCTTTAACCGCAGTGGGATCTGTAATGGATAGAACTGTGTGTGTGTGTGCACATGTGTGTGTGTGTGCATGTGCACGTGTGTGTGGGACACGTCTGCACAAAGGAAATCCTATGCATCCGCCTGAGTACCACATGTAGAGCTTTGGGTCCACATCCGCCCATGGGGGCAGGTGGGAGTAAATGGACTCTGAGCGTGGGCCACCCGGGCATAGTCACTAGTCCGTGGCTCGGCAGGACCACTTAGCCACCTGGCTTTGCTTTCTCGCCCGGGATCGGGCACAGGAAGGCCGGCTTTAGAGCTTAGAGGGGGGATTAAACCGTCTCTGAGAGAGCCCCGCCCCCGGCGCAGCAGACACGCAATCGACGGCACCTGCTGGGATGAAGTGAGATGCCAGGCTTACCGGATTGTGGGACTGATCCGGCGACAGACCCACCCGCGCCCACGGGCAGGTGAGCGGACCGGCTCCCAGCTGGTCCCGGCAGCTCTGCCCCCTGTGCCGGCGG